TTGGCACCAAATTGTCCTTGGAAGATAATGAAATGTATGATAATCTAGCTTTCTATAGAAGTACCATAGGTGCCTTACAATGCTTGACTTTATCTAGACCTGACATAGCATACTCTGTCAACAAGCTAAGCCAATTTTTGAAGTCTCCCACTCAACTGCATTGGCAAGCCTGCAACGTCTACTTAGATACATCAAAGGCACCACAAATTATGGTGTACATTTCAATAAAAGTCACATATTTAACTTGGAATGTTACACTGATGCCGATTGGGCAAGCAACCTTCATGACAGGAGGTCCACCAGTGGCTGTTGTGCGTATCTTGGTTCAAATTTGATTCAATGGCATTCTAGGAAGCAGAAAGTTATAGCTTTGTCCTCTATTGAAGCAGAATATAGAGCTCTTGCATAAGGATCTACTGAACTTGCTTGGTTTTGTTGTTTATTCTCTGAACTTGGACTAGTTCTTAGTGAAGTTCCTATCATTTGGTGTGACAACCAAAGTGTAGGGTCCCTTGCCTCTAATCTTGTCTTCCATGGTAGGAACAAACATATTGAGCTAGATGCTCATTATGTGAGGGGTCAAGCCACAACTAACAAGTTGAAAGTTCAGTATGTACCTACTGAATTTCAAAATGCTGACATATTTACTAAGGCCCTCTCAGCCTCCAAGTTTGAAGTTCTGAGAGACTAGCTTAATGTCAAGGCTCCACTTGCTCCAAAGTCTTGATAATTAGACTTAAGTCTCTCTATTTGCAATAGTCAAATGAGCAACAACATGCCTTTATGATATGCTATAATAATGTTGTTTTGATCACGCTAGTGCAACAGTCATGAAAAATCTGGCCTCACTAAAACAGGTGACGTGTTTGAGCAACTGATCTTCTGTTGAAAGTTGGCTGCTTGAAGATGATATACCTATATGGTTCATTTGGTATGAATATCAATTCAGTTGATGTGAATTGGTTACTTTTCATTTGCAGCAGCAACTGATGTGTTATTGGAGTGAATTGGTGTTGTGAAAGTATCATGAATATATCATTTTTTTAGGTGAAGTGATGTTAGTCAATTTTGTTTGTTTTCATTTGCAGTAATAGCTGAAGTGATATTGGAGTAAAGTGGTATGTTGTGAATTGGCTAGATTTGTTTGTTTTCATTTGCAGCAGTAGCTGCAGTGATATTGGAGTAAATTGGTAATCTCTGTTTGGAGTGAATTGGTGTTGTGAATTGGTCAGTTTTGTTCAATTTTGTTTGTTTCATTTGCAACAACAGCTGAAGTGATATTGGAGTGAATTGGTTTTTGTGAATTAATTGGTCACTTCAACTCAGTTTTCTTGTGTAGTAAAATGATGCAATCTGAGAGCTGGTTTCTTCTTGTTGATAATTGAATGTCAGTTGTCCACTTAGTATTAAATATCAGTAAGTTTGTGTACTGCTTTGTTCAAAAGGAATGTTGATGACTGTAGAAATGTCAAGTTCATGGGAATTTCAATTTACGGAAGGATGTTAGGATTAGTGATTGAAGATAAGTCCTATGGAGGCTCAATTTGCGAAAGGATGTTAGGATTAGTGCACAAGTTGACCTGTTGACTAAATTATTAACTAGCATATGTTGACTCAAGTCTGTTTTGTATATAAACAGCTCTGTAACTAACTTCTCTCTTAATGAAAAATTCTGTTGTAGTTCTTGATAGAACTTTCTCACATTTTCTTTTTCGGTTTGTTACTTTCCTTCTCACTTTCACATCCAATTGGATAAAAGAATAATGAAAAAAAAAAAAAAAAACCTATTGGACTAATATAATGTTGAATCTTCATCTTTTAGCTTAAGATTTTAAGTGAGATGACAATTTCCAACTCTTGTGTTTGCAATACCTAACCATCGTGTGTTTGGGGTATCTAACCATTATTTATTACTTTTTAAAAGATATAGACTAAAGGCAGGCCATCGGTGCCCAAATCATGTGTTTGGGGGCATCTAACCATCCTTTATTACTTTAAAAAATACTAAAGGCAGGCTATCGGTGCCCAACTTGTGTTTGCAATATCTAACTATCCTTTATTACTTTAAAAAATACAGACTAAAGGTTGTAGGACATTGTGCATAATCTTGTGTTTGGGGGTATATAAGTCATAACCATCCTTTATTACTTTAAAAAATATAGACTAAAGGCTGGCCATTGGTGCTCAACTCTAGTACTGTTTGCAGTATCTAACCATCCTTTATTAGTTTGAAAAATATATACATACTAAAGGTAGGCCATGGGTGCCCAAATATTGTGTTTGGGGCATCTAACCATCCTTTGTTACTTTAAAAAAATATAGCCTACCATGGGTGCCCAACTCTTGTGTTTGAAGTAACCATCCTTTATTACTTTAAAAAATATAGACTAAAAGCAGGCCATAGGTGACCAACTCGTGTTTGCAGTATCTAACCATCGTACTACTTTGAAAAATACATACTATAGGTTGGCCATTGGTGCCAAAATGTTGTGTTTTGGCGTGTCTAACCATCTTTTATTACTTTAAAAAATATAGACTAAAGGCAAGCCATCCGCGTCCAAAAACAAAGAAAGTTGCTATATTAGTTTGTAGGGAGTAGTTCGTATATTTATCATTACTCTCTATATATACACAATAAACTTCATTGGATATGAATAAAACATGTCAACCTTTTTCAGAAAATGAATATGACACATCAATGATCAATCGGCCGTTTTTCCGAAGGACTCTTTCGTAGCTAGAAGAGTACCTTCAGCGTTTGTCAATAACCAGGGGAAGAATTTCTGCCGAAAATGGGAAAAATAAATAAATACATCAGTCGAGTTAACAAATTGACATTTCTCCAATGGTGGATTCTGATTAATTTTCCATTTGAGGTTGACATTATGGCCACTCTGTTTTGAACATATTGACATCTACACTCAAAAAAAGAAATGTGCTATCAATACAAAGTTCTACGCGTCTAATTGAGGCTGCACATACAGACATTGAATGAAGCACATATAAGTCAATTTTCCTAGTGCATTTTCCAATGTTTCTTTCAATGCTTGGCCTTCCTTGCGTTAACCCCACGTTCAGGATTTTAAAGGAATAAAAAACTTCCCCACAACTCAAAAGTTCATATTATAGAAATAGTTCAAAATCCAACTCAAATAAGAAGATTAGATTTATAATATATAATTAACAATAATCTTATACATATAAGTTGAGATCTCATCTTTAACTTTGTATCAACATAATAGTAATTACATAAAAATTATTCATTGCTCCCATTATCACATAAAATTATTCACTGATCCCATTATCTTATAGTCAATTTGGTATTGATGCATAAACAACCATATTACTTATTAATATTGTGGTGGTTTGTTGAATTATCGAAACCCACGTATGGTTAGGTAATTAAGATTATCACCTCTCTCTATTAACTTAATGAAATTGTTTAAAGAAACGAGATTATCTGTTGTCATATATATGTTAAATTTTTCTCCTTTTTCAATTCATTCTCATGATTCATCTATATTAATTAAACATTACTATTAATTACGCGTAATTTTGAAAACTAATAACACATACTATTGCTTTATCAGATAGTTTTATTAAGTCAATAAAGCGCTATTGCTTTATTAGATAGTTTTATTAAGTCAATAAAGCGAGGAGACTATCATATGTCACTGAATGTTAGTAATTTTCCAGGATCAAAGAATCCAAATTCACAACACATTGCTCACGCATAAATTGAAGTCCACACGCACACCTTTGATAGTGCTACATGTTCCACATCAACTTCAAAATGTTAATTAAAATTATCCCAGAAGGCACGTAAACTGGGATAGAGGAGCTGAATACTTGAATCCCATCCCAAAATTATTGTAGGGCATGTGAATCACAGTTCACATTGATGATTGATCAAATATTGCTTAATTTCTTTAGTGCTCCATATTCCAGGAACTCCATTGTTGTAAACTGGTCAAAACTACAATAAGCAAAAGACCAAGTTGGTTGAAAGATAAATTGTGGAAAAACGTGAATCACAGTCAATGTTATCTTATGGTCTTTTACGCTTTTTCATAGTGCTTCAAAAAGTGTTTCTGGCCGTACTGGGATGCATTATGTATATATATAGGAATATCCCTGGCCATATAGTTATACCAATAACTTAAATTCATTGATCTTGTGGTGAGGGGAACACAGAAAAAAGACAAAAGAGGAGTCTTCAACAGGGAGGTATAATATATACTACTATTCTCAAGTTTTGCAACAATTTTTTCATCTATACATTTATCATATTATTAGTCAATTTCTCTTATGAACGTTATGATTTTTCTAAAATCTGGACCTCAATTCTCGCAAGTGCGATTTGTTGATAAAAGACAAAAAGATACTTTCGAGAATTAAGTGATGCATATGCATGATTTACTTAGGTTGGCATCTAAGAATTTTAGGTCATATTATATCATTATTTATACGTACCTTGGGGTTAGGGTCCCCCTTAATTCTAACATATGTTAAACTACATAAGGGTAGAATGTATATACTATTACTTTTTCAGTAAGGTTAGGTTAATGTCATCTTAAAGACATTTTCGACTCTGCCTAAAAAATATTGTTTCAAAGTCAGAATTTAATTAGCGGTTGTTAGTTTGAGAGGGGTGTTTCCTAGTATTTGAAAGATGCATATCTTGAACTCACATTTGACCAAAAGGTTAGGGTGGATTAACTCTTTCTCTCATATAGCTACACGTCATTCTCAGGTATGCACCTAAAATCCATCCATACTTAAAAAGTAAAATAATAATAAAAAAAAAGTCTTCAATAGGTAGGTAATGGCTACGATAATCCTATTAATTTTGCATTAACATGGGGTTTAATCAAGTATTAGACTAAATGGGGTTGCAATAATAAAGTTGAAACCAATCATGTAACACTTGAGTTAATTTTCTTTGCTTTTTTAATTTAAATATAAAGACATACTATTAATAGAGTTTTCCTGTAGCAGGTATGGGGACAACCAATTTTGCTCTAGCTGGTATCGTGACCGAAAAGCTTACAGAAGAGAACTATGAAAATTGGAAAGAAAGTTTGAAAAGCTACTTGATTGCTCAAGGTCTTTGGGATGTAGTCTCTGGAAAGGAAGCTAAACCGAAAGAATCCGAACCAAATTATGAAGCTTGGACTAGAAAAAATGCCATGGCCTTGCATGCCATGCAAGTTTCCTGTGGTGCAGATACAATTTCCAAGCTCAGGGGCAGTGAATCAGCCAAGTATGAGTGGGAACGTTTGGCGGAAAAGCGTCCACCGCCATTGCCGGAGGGTGGTGGCTTGTTTGCAGACGAAGGTAATTAATTCTAGTTTTATTAGTTTTAGTACTAAAAAAAGTGTTTCTCAAAAAGGGTTAGGCTATTGTAACTCAAATTTTTTTTTTATAAGTTTGTGACAAAAATTCTGATTATAATTAGATAGATTAAAAATAGAAAATATTTTTTTTATGATTTAATTCTATTGGAAAAAAAAAAACTTATCTATAGTCTGTCTTTCTTGTGAATATATATCCTAATTTGGTTTTTGAAGTGCATAAACCATTATTACAAGAGTTAACTTTTGCTTGCGAGAGTTCATAAAATCTTTTTGAGCCACAGAAAAAGAAATTTAAGTTACAGAAAACTCCTAAAATTCTTATGATGTTAAATCTGTACACAAACAATAATTAACAGGAGTTAACTTTTGCATGCCAGAGTTCACAAATACTTTTTAACGTCAAAAAAATAAATTCTGAATTTCAGAAAATATTTAAAATCCTTATCATTTTATTATTTTCTTATGAAGAAACTCCTTCTGTAGCAGGAACTTGGAACAACACCTTTCAGTATGAAGCCCTCTACAAGGCTGTGAGCAAAGGCGATTGGGTGACCACCAAACATTTCCTTGATAGCAACCCACAAGCCGTGAGAGCGAAGATCACATTAACCGGTGACACTGCTCTTCATGTCGCCGTCCTCACCGGGCACGGCAAGCTTGTGGAGGAGTTAGTGAGGCTAATGTCCGACACAGACTTGGAACTCCGAAGTGGTCTCGGCTACACAGCCTTTTCCGTTGCAGCCATCAATGAATTCAAAGAAATGGCCAACATAATGCTTAGAAAGAACCCCAATTTGGTATGTGTGAAGAATGATAATGGACTAATCCCAATTGTTGTGGCCTCCCTTTATGGTTCAAAAGATATGGTTCGCTATCTTTACTCCAAGACTCCTATTGAAATTCTGAGTCCTGAAAATAATGATCGGAGTGGTGCCACACTACTTAATTGTCTTATCACAGATGGGATTTATGGTGAGTCCAGAAAACAGCGAGTTTTGATGAAATTAAACGATCACTTAAGGGATCGATGTAATAACTTTTCCAAAAACCTTGCTAGTTAATTTTTCTTTTGTTTATTATTGTAGATGTGGCTTTGAATCTGCTAAAAAAGTATCCACTACTTGGTGTCACAGAAGATTTTCATAGGAACTATGCAATCAAATTGTTGGCGCATAAACCTTCGGCATTTCCAAGTGGGCAAAAGTTTATATTTTGGAAACAGTGGATCTACTCATGTGAGTACTCAATTAATTAATTTCTGACCAATAATTTTCTATCTTATTGCTCAAATATGTGAACTGATTACTAAAATAACAATATATTTATTATAAGGTATGTGTGTGAAACAATCTGGGATAATTCACCACCATGATGATGAATGGCCCCCTAAAAAATTTGGTGACGATGAGGAAAGCAATATTATAAGGTCTCAAGAATGCTCAAGTTATAGCAATTGCTTATTAAGACAAGGTCTATTATCATTTCTCCTTTTCAAGTATTTTATATTTAATCATCAACTGCAATATTTTATTAAGTGATAGTACAAATAACGTGATATGTATGAATTTCTTTCTTTTTAAATATGCTCATCTCACAATTGTTTTCAATTATAACGTCTTGATTGCAGTGCGCAGTTTATTCATTGGACTAATTTGGAAACTCTTAACTTGCTTCGGTATGTAGCATTTCCTTAAAAAATTCCATCTATATATATGCCTTTCGGCGACAATAAGATAAATTTGTTAGAGCATTAATATTCAATAAAAAATTATCAATTGCAGTCCCTGACATGAAGCATATATATCATACAAAGTTGAGGCACGCTCAAGTCCTTGAACTCCTTAACTGCATTCTCAAGGAAATTCTGAAGTTAAGTAATACACAACTAGAAAGAATTGGATTTGATCAAGCAATCTACGATGCGATCAAGCACGGAATAATTGAGATTGTTGATGAGTTGATTGAGTGCAATCCTGAAATAATATGGAGGAAAGATAAAAAGGGTAGAACCATCTTTGCTAATGCACTTGTGCTTCGTCAAGAAAAGATCTTTAGCCATGTTTACAGATTGGGTGCTAAGCTTCGCATAGCAGTGCTTCGTCATGATATATTTGGTAACAATTTTTTACATCTAGCTGCCAAGCTATCTCCTCCTTCAAGACTTGATCGTATCTCAGGTGGAGCTTTGCAAATGCAAAGAGAATTACAATGGTTTAAGGTGAGCATACAAATACCCATGATCATTTTTTTTAACTATAATATTATATATACAAAACTGAGATTCTGATGAATTATTTTAACATCACATTAATCATAGAGAGTAATTGTCACAAAGTGAGAAAAACATTAATCATAGAGAGTAATTGTCACAAAGTGAGAAAAACTTGTACAAAATAATCTTTTCATCTCATTCTGTTATAACATAACAAAACCGTCCAATTCAAATGTGTCAAATTTTTTTATATATAAACCATGCTCTATTATTTATCAGGAGTGCAAAGCTGGTGCCACCAAAATACATGGAAGAAGTCAATGAAAACAAAACACCAAGTGCATTGTTCTCAGAGGAGCACCAAGTTAATAAGAGAAGGGGAAAGATGGAGAAGAACCACAGCAGCTTCGTGCATGGTTGTAGCAACACTCATCGCCGCGGTAATGTTCACTTCAGCTTTTACGGTTCCCGGTGGCACAATAACGAAACGTTTCCCCATCTTCTTAAAGTACGATGCATTCCTCGTCTTCGTCATTTCGAATGCTTTCGCCTTGTTTGCTTCTTCGACTGCTGTGCTAGTTTTCTAGGAATTCTCACTTCACGCACGAAGAAAGAGATTTTCTCAAATCCTCGCCGACGAAATTGATCATTGGTCTTTTCTCTCTTTTCTTCTCGATGTAACCATGAGGGTAGCGTTTGGTTCAGCTCTTTCAATTGTCCTCCAAGCAAGATTGAAATGGGTGGCCATTCCAGTCTTTGTTCTTTCTTCAATCCCGGTTGTTTTCTTTGCTCTTTTACATTTCCTCTTCTCCTTGAAATGGTCTCTGCACATATTGGCGAGACTCTTTGACAAACCGAAGAAAGGATCTATGTTAGAGGATAATTAATTGTATTTCAAATTTATGTACTTTAGCATGGAGGAAATTAATTGAATAACTTATGTTTTAATAATTATATATTTGGGATTTATTTTTTATGTTGGAATTGGAGTGATTAATCTTAATTCACACAGCCACAACGTGATGAACACTATGAAAGAAAACGTGATTTTTCTCTATTATTAATCTGAATGACTCAATTATAATGAAAATTTTCCATCTCTTTTATAGCAGGAGACTACATAATAATCCTAATTAAAAACTACATCCTAATTCAACTTAAATTAAGAAAAAGAAATATATATTCTCAAATTCCTATTCCTAAAACAAGAACTTAACTAAAATGATAATTCTCCTAAATCACAACTACTTTAAACAGGAAATTAAATCAAACTAACATCTTCACTTCACGGTTGTGCCGTGGCATAAAGAAATCTTCGCCGTGGCGGGCGCTCCAATTCATCCGTTCCTACACTACTCTTTTGCGCACGCCGTGATGAAATTTTTCTTGCCGCCGCATCCAGCTTCTGGACACACCTGGCCTCTTCCACTCTTTCAACTCTGCAGCCTTTTCTTCTTCTATTATTGCCAAGTTAAGACTCCAAAAATGGTTTCAATTCTTAATATTAAATTAAAATTTGAAATATGAAACGTAAAACTAATAACATAATATTAAGATTTAATATATAAATAGGGAAATAACAATAGTAAATTAAGGAATCAACTATTATGATGCAAAATTTAAACATAAATTGCGAAATGACTATTACTAATTTAATAGAGTTAACGACTTTTTCCACCCAAATAATGGTTTAACGACACTTTCTTATCCACAAACATTTAAAATACCACTTTACTACCAAATTTATATTTCAGCGATGAACAGAGTGCAAACTTGGTCTAAGTTGTTGAGGCTTTTAAAGAGGGGAGGCCAATGAGTTTTCCGGTGGTGGAAGGTTGGGTTTTGGTGGTTAAGATTGATTGGAATTTGACTTAAAAGGAGTGGCTGCATAAACCCTAATCGCTCGATTGTCAGGGTCGACGAGAGTAGAGTTTGAAGGGTTTTGGTTATTGATGATCGGAGAAGAGAATGGTGGTGGTGTAACGTCACAACGATACCAAAATCAGAAACGGAATATAAATTTGGGAAGTAAAATGGTATTTCAAAAGTCCGTGGGTGGGAAAGTGTCATTTGAACCATTATTTAGGTGAAAAAAAGTCCTTTACTCTAATTAATATAATGCAAATCCAATAATTAACTTTTTTTTTTCTTTTATCTAGTTGTACGTATAATTTGGGGATTCGTACTTTAAACCTTTGATTTTAGAAAAGTGCTACCCTTACAAAGAAAAATACAAATAGGGCGTACAAAGACAATTGTCATCTTTGATTTTCATGATTTCTCTTTCTTTCTCTCTCTCTTTTTCCATTCTTTCTTTGTTTTTTTCTTCTCTCTCACCTCACTTTGTAGCCCTCTTTGTATAGGCCTTTGTAAGGATATCATTTTTCTTGATTTTAATACAATGTTAAGTTGACATCTGCCTAAAACTTTAAGAAATATTTTCATATGTAGCCAACTTTACTAAGTTTAATTCTCAAAATGTAAGGTTTTGTTTAAAGAAGATTTAGTCATAAAATTACATAACTTAACCTAACTCCTAACTACACTTTTAATGAAAAATAACAAGGACAAAAATAGCTAAAAGGCATTAGACTATCAAGTCTAGTAGCATGGTCTAACATGTTTTAATTAGACAATCAAACTACACTACTATATGCTAAACTTGATCTCGACTATTGAGTCTAGCATAGTCTAGCGCTATATATTAGTAATATAATATTTATTGTTTCATTAAGGATACAATTGATAAGTTATTGAATTTTATAACTAGATTTGTACTTTAAATAAAACCTGTATATATTGGAAAATTATGATTATTGAGTTGACTATATATATATATATACTTGAGCTAACAAGTGAGGGATTAACATTATATTACTCTAGTACATTATAGCACCACTAAAATAGTGTTTATTTGTACTTTGCCATGTATTAAAAGCTAAACTCATGTAAGATATAATAATTTTAATTGAAAAAACTTCACAAAATGGATAGTACATTACAAATTCAAAGATACGCGGGAAAGTTGTTAGAGCTACACATGAACTATAGTGATCTTAGTCGTATACAATTCTTTGCATCTCATGAGCAAAATCACTTACCATTAGTCACATATCTTCGGGAAGAAATATGGGCTTACATTGTAAACGCGTTATTGGGTATAATGAGCATTTAGAGTCACTTATACTAAATCTGAAGGGTGTTTATGTCTTAAAACCGTTGGGTTTAACGTAAATGACAATTAAACTTAAAGTTTAAACAAGTGACAGTATAAACTCAAATGTTATAATATAATGATAAGAGTAATATAGTATAACCTCTATAAATTAATAACGATCATATAAATTCTATTAATTAATCGACAGATTAATAGTTTATTAATTTATAGAGTATATTTACGATTCCACGAGCACACATTTAATTAGTTAAAGATTCGTTGTATTTTACCAATAAATAAATTGAATATGAATTAATTCACTAAATATATATTAAAGCATTAATTTAAATTCATTGTACTTATGTACTTAATTAAATAATATTCATTGTATATAATTGTTGAGGATGATACAATAGCTTTGGAGCTTGCTATGTGCAAGGAAACACTCAAAGCATCAACAACACTTTATAATTTTTTATTGTAATTCTAAAATTCAACCCCAGAACTTTTAAATGCAATGAGAAAAATTAGAGATGAGATCTAATAAGATTTAAATTTAAAAAAAAAAAGTAACAATAGAGTCATATTTAAATAAAATATCATAGTTAATTAGCAAATTATTTATTTATGATAGGAATTGTACCACATAGTTATGTAAGGTTTTCTAGAAGAATATTATTTTATTAATTTACCGAAATTATTAATTTAACTTACTAGCCCAAGTTGGAACTGTAAGAAATTATTATATAATAGAGGTTATTAATTTATACAGGTTATACCATACTACTCTTACAAAGCTTGTATACAAAGGTAACTATACAAAGTGATTACCCTTTACTTGACACATCATTTATCTTCATTTAATAAATTGATTTTACAAATTTACTCTCCTAATTATTATGTGACAAATCACTTTGTATATAAACTTTGTAAAAGTAGTATTATTACAAATAGTCTTTGTATATAAACTTTGTAAGAGTAGTATTGTTGAAAAGATAACCCTTGTTAGCCTAATATGTTATATGGAGGGGTAAAGTTGTAAAATGCTCTGAAAATTAATTAGCTGTAAAAAAAAGAAGTTTATTTTTTTTGTCAAATGATAGCATTATTAATCATAGGTAACAAAAGGGAAAAAGACAAAGTAAACAAATAAATTATCTAATAAATTAAGTATACATATCTATTTTGTTTAACATTTTTTATTTTATTTTCTTAATTTTATAATTTGCATCTCTCATATTATTATTTTAAACTATTATATCATTAAAAAAAAATTATAATAAAAACATATTTTCTTTTATTTAAACACTTATTTTTAACTATTTTATTGGAAATTATATGTTTGGATTTTTTCATATTTATTATATCTAATTATTGTTTTGTTTGTTTTATTTATTATCATAAAAGACAAAAGGATTTTTTTTTTTTCTTATTTTTTTGCCTTCTTGTTAGATCTTGTGTGTTAGATAACGGATTAAGCTAATGCTGGTTATCTATAAATGAAAATGTTACTATACTATAACGTTTGGACTTATTTTAATTCGACTAAATCTCTTGGTCTAATTGTTACTTATATTAAACCTTAAGTTTTAAAGCCGTTTATTTAATTATATAGGTTGTTCTCTAGAGTTAATTTTTTCTTCTGCATTTTGCACTTTTCTATGTTATGTCTTTTCCTTTAAGGTTCATATTTCCCTTTAACTTTGAGTTTCAATTATTTAAAAANCAAAAAAGAAAAAATAGTTAACTACACCTAGAAAGTTATGAGTAATAGAATTATTTAAAGTTAAACGATCTTAATATTTATTTATTTATAATATCATCAATATTACATCACTATTATTTAACA